AACACTCCAAGCATGCTGAAACTGCCCCTTTCCAATTCTCCCATAAAAGACTGTGTCCAACTCTCAGTCAGGACCAGAGTCTCAGAGTGTTAACTCCTCTGTGCCCAATGGCATAATAATTTCCTCTCTGAAATGCTGTATTTTCATTCCTCAGTGTGTTTTTCCACAACATTTGGTGCATTGGCTGGAAAGCAAAATCAGTGTAGTCCTTTGGGCCACTGATGCCAGGGTGTTTTCCCTAGAGATGGGCACTGCAGTGTGGAGACATAGGTGTGCCCCCATCTTATTTGATGGGATCCCTCAACTGGGATGCCTGCCCTGAGGTCAAGCATTCCTGGATCATTGGACTCCAATTGGAGTTAAAGGCCAACTCCTGGACCCTGATGCATCAACTCTGGTAATCTGGTAATCTGGTAAGCTCCTGGGGATCTGTAGAGCCCTAGTCAGTTAGACCTATTCGAAATGAGTAGAAGAAGAGACCCAAACACTCTCCTTCAGTCATAGGACTGGCAGTCAGGACTCACCTGGTAATTGGCTGAAGCCCCCGGGTATCTGTAGAGACCTCGTCAGTCAGACTTATTCATATAAAGTAGAAGAGGAAACCTGTACACTCTTCTTCAGTCATAGGACTGGTAGTTAGGGCTTATCTGGTAATTGGTTGGTGTGGGAGGGAATGTATAACCTCTGAGTGAATGTGTTTGTGATGAGTGAACGTGTTCGTGGCCCCACCATGCATTGCACTACAGGACATTATTTGATCTGTTTTCTGTTGTTCTGTGGTGAATCCAAAAAGGCTAAATAGCAAAATTACATGCTGAGGGACCCCTTCTCTCTCTACTCATGTAATCTGGCAGAGGTTCTATATCCAATTGCTTATTGCCAAGGAGACACACAAAACTCATGAGAGACATGGCCAGACAGACCACATTGGTGACACCATTCATGGGAGGGTGGACACAAAGGCCAATGGGAAGGTTTTCCCTGTAGAGATGGATAGGAAGAGTAGTGACTATCAGGTCATTGATCTGTCCCTGAAAGTTAGGGCACAAATTTCTCCTGACTGTGACACATTTATAGATAGAAAGACAGGTAAAAAATATAGATGTCATTGAGGCTTTGTTGAAGCAACTGGCCTTTGGAATTGCTAATGTGGATTGTCAAGAAGTATTAAAAGGAAATTCACAGCCTGGGGTGACCTTGTAGCTCAGTCCTCATAGCAACTTAGCAACTCTGAATGACCTTGTAGCCCTGCTAACAGCCTAACAACTCTGTTTAGTGCTGACAGACACTGTGTTAACCCCTTCTCATTTGTAGGGTGCTCAGGAATTTTTGTTTAGGGCATGTTAGGCTGAGTTAGTATAGGCCAATTTAGCATAATCACCCATGCTAGGGCTGTTAGGCCGAGTTAGCATAGGCATAATCACTGCCATGACAGTGCTTCAAGGATGGAGCCCGGGAATTCGTGAATAAACAGAGGACAGGAATTCATAAATAAACATAAGACAGGAACTCATAAATAAGCAGAGGACGGGTGGGCCAGGCGGCGCCAGAACAAGGTTTACCTAACTTTAACTGAGAGTTCTTATCTAAATTCAAGCAGGCGATAACAGCTGGACCCTAACTGCACATAACCCCTCCCTTGTGTGCTGCATATTATGGCAAGTTACTGACAGTATATTCTGTATTGCCTCCTGAGCTATAAAAGGCCCCTCTATCCTCGGTTCAGGGTCCTTGTTGCAACCCGCTGTGTTGGTCATAAACTCGGACCCCAGCTAGCTGGAAAAATAAATGCCTTTTATGCAGTTGCATTGTCGTTGTCTTCTCTGCATCACCACTAGATAAACAGATCTTTGGACCCTAACAGGCAGTTGCTTTGGGGTTCTGTTTCTGACTTCTAAAGGTTTTTCTCAAATGCTGAAAATCTTAAATTATTATCAATAAGAATGTTTTCTTCTATTTTGGGAAATTTGTTGAACAGTTTTTGTTTATAAAATATGCATCAACATATAAAACGAACTCATGATTTATGTAAAACAAAAAAGAAGGGAAGCTTCCCCCCCCACATGCTGCCAAATTACTCTACCTAGCCATACTCAAATTAAATAATTTAAATTTGACTTTGACACAAAATCACATTAATGGAGCACCTCCTGGCAGCATTTATCACTACTAAAAAGCTTCCTCCAACCAGTGATCTCCTGAGACCTCAGGGAGATGCAGGCTTTTGATATCTGGAGAGATCAGATATATTTCAGCCATGCCTCTCAGCACTACCATAGAAAACCCCCAGTCCAAATCTTCCAAGCCTACTGTGCTGGACTGTATATTGATTAATTTTAAAAGGGCTTCTCTGGTGATTATGGAGTTACAATGAAACCGGAAAAGCTGAGGGCTGTTTGTGAGGTTGAATGGTCCTCTTTTAAACTGGGATGGCTGCTGGAGGGAACTTCACATCTCTCCACCATGTGGGCTATGTACAATGTATTTACTGGTATCCCAGGCCATCCTGACCAGTTCCCCTGTGCTGGTTCCTGGCTACAAATAGCCTAAGCCATTCCACCTTGGGTATGGATTTGTGTTAGAGGAAAGAATCAATGTACTATTCCAGCCACTCATGTCATGCTGCCCATGCCCACCTCTGACCAAAAGAAACCCATAGCTCTGGCTCCCATCTTTAAGGCATTTTTGAAGAGGAGCTACTAGCAGCTTCACCCCCATATGCCCCAGCTGAGCCAATGATCAAAACTCTGTCCCCATCTGTGTACCTAGAGCCTGAAGAACAGCTTGAGGGGCTACCAACAGCTCCACCCACTAAGGGGGGAGGCCACTAGTCGTGCTGAACTCTGTGCCAAGGCTCTGGCTCACCTGCCGTCACACACCAAGCTGCTGCAGCCTGGGGCGATCTTACTCTTTAGAAACCCCTCTGGGAGACCTGAGGGCCTCCCCAAATAGGCACATATGGGGCTATTATTAAAGGCAAAGTAACCCTCTACTTCCAGTCCTTTACCACCACTGATTTGCTTAATTGGAAACACCACACTCTCCCTTACTCAGAATAGCTCCAGGCAAGGATAGATCTCATGGAGTCTACACTTTAAACACATTATCCCACTTGAGCCAACTGCTGACAACTACTTCTCACTCTACTTAGCACAGAGGAGTGCTGCAGAGTCCTTGTAGCAGCAAAGAAATGCGTATGGAAACATGCCTCCAATGATGTGGTAGATTCCAAGGCTTGGGTCAGAACTACGTTTCTGAAAATTTTCGAGGGAACCAAAGGAAGTGGCAATCATCCATTGCATGGGACACCAGAGGGGCGAAGACCCCATCACCCTGGGAAACCAGCTGGCAGATAAGAGAGCCAAGGCTGTCACCAATGAACCCTGACCACTGTAACTAATATGCTGCTACTCACAAGCATCCCCAAAGCACCCCTTATACCTCCAATGAACATCACTGGGAAAAAGTGAGAGGGAACAACCCTGGAAGAAGAAAGATGGTGGAGATTGCCAGATAAAAGAAGATACATACCTAAGTCTCTGGGATATTCTTTGGTAAAGCAGCCACCACAAGTTGACTCACTGGGGAAAGACTAACCAAGAAACCATGCTAAGCCACTTTGAGCAGCTGACTGAGGTGACCTTCCAGAGGGCCAAGACCTGACATTGAGTTTACAGCCCTGCTGTAGCCACTCCTGGGATGGCTGCTCTATGCACCATGGAAGCTTGAGGAGTCTCTAGCCCTGCTTTGGTCACTCTAGATGCTGACTAATCTATGAACAGCAGAAGCTTGAGGACAGCAACAAATGATACCCTGACAATACCCTTACAACCTCCCGCCTTAAAGCCATCAAATATCAACTGCTTGTCACTGCCCTGGAAAGCTATATTTACTGCTCTCCTATTAATTGATCCTTCTTAAATATGATTGAGGAGGCTCAAGAGGGAGGAATAATGTGGAACAACCCAAGTCTAATAATTGCCTGAACTTTCTGTTTTGATATAGAAAAACTTGAGTGTAACCTTGGGATAGCTGATAGCTGCCTGGGCTATCTATTTCCTAGCATGCTGAAACTGCCCCTCCCTGAACTGTTGTGCAGCCAGAGGCCTTGAGCTCCCTGCTTCTCTGCCAGTTCTGTATTAGGGCAGACACAGAACTCCTACCACTTGGAGTGTACTGAAACCGCCCCTCCCTAATTCTCCCATAAAAGATGTTTAACTTTCAGCCGGGAATGGAGACTCAAGAGTGTCCATTTTGTGGAAACTGAGGTCTTCAGAGCCTATTGATCTTGTTCAGTATTTTATGATGTAATATCACTCTACATTTTACTGTGCAGGGGAGATGTTTGCTCACACCAATCTCTACTGTCATTGATGTGGTTGGGCCTGAAACTCACAATAGCCCATGGCCGGCAGTTGCCAAAGTTTCCCAGGCCTTGACAAATTCACTGCCTCTGCCTCTCCTCTTCCGGAGTGATAAAATCAATCTGAGACCTTGACAAGCCAGATACCCCACTTATCTGATCCTTTCTTCCTGAGAACAAACTCTGGGCTGCAACTTTCTGATGGGCTTCTTCCTCCTTATTGGTTTTCTCTTCCTGATAGGATAGCCTTAGCCCACTTAAAACTGCCCTGCTCCAAACTCCCCCATAAAAGACTGTGTTCAACCCCCATGGGGGGTGGGGGATTCAGTGTTAACTCCTCCATGCCTGCCAACATAATTTAAAGAGTTCTCTTTTCTCTCTGGAGTGCTGCATTTTCATCCATTGGCATCTGTTTTCCCACAACATCATGAGCAGGGACAGATAGTGAGTGCTGGGGGCTCTCCAGTGTAAGGCTGGTTTGCATTACATGAGAGGAAGAACAGTGATAGCCAATGAGATGATCTTCTACTACCAGTATTACAAGCAGGATGAGTGTCCTAAAGATTTAGGTGCACGTCTGTGTAGGTGTCCTCCTTTCCTCAGGCTGTCCTGAGGCCCTAGGGGCCAGGGTCCCTTCCACACAACTTTACCCAAGCTGAAACCTTGTTCATTCCTGGTTACTTCTGGGTCTTCACTCAATTGTTGAACATTTTCATGAAAAGGATCATTATCCATGACCCAGGCTACTGCGACCAGCCTTTTCAGCTCCTTCATCCACTTCTTTCCCTTTCTCCATAGCATGCTCATTTCTGGAACAGAACAAAACCCTGAACTCTAGCTTGCCCACATTTTCTTTCCTGGTACTGCCCATCACCCAGCCTGCTCCTGGCCCAGCACACTGACTGCCTAGGAAGCAGCCCCCCAGCCACTGTCCTGACTATAGCACTACACCCTGGCTGCCCTCTGGTCCTGTCTACTTCCCCTGTGACATCTCTAGTGGCACCAATTGGGGGCCATGGTCCAAGTGTAGCCGGGACTGTCAATGTCATTCTGTAAGTTAGTGCAGAACAAATTCCCACCCAGGACCCTCTCAGTCAGGTTTTTGTCCTGAATCAGGCCCTGTCAACTAGAGCACCCTGGGAAACATCTCGAGAGGTCTGGACAATGGCCCTCTCCTCCTCTTGGCAGCTCCTGCTGTGCAGACTGTTATTTCTGCCTCAGCCATCAAGGTCTCCCAGGTCATCCAGGGAAGCTGGGCCCTAGCACATCATCCTCCAGTTCCACTCCTGATGACCCAGATCACTCCCATCATGGCTCCAGTGACCACTGTGCCACAACCACAGGAGGCTTTCACAGATGGTCACCTGGACACTTCCCAGGCTATGGCTTCATTGGGCGACAACTGCAACCTCAGGAGTGTTTATTACAACTTCTGATGCTGGGAGAGCTTCAAGCCTCTAGCCAGGAGGTTTCTGCCCCAGAGTCCTGATGGTGAAGATCTGTCCTGCTTCTTCATGTGAGTACCTGCCACTGGTGATGGTGCTTATCTGTGAAAGAAGCAGGGGATGGATGAGGAGGTGAAGTTGTGGGGGAACTTGGAGGCAGGTTCAGAGGGTGATGGCAACTGCTGTGAGAAACTACATTCTCAATAATCTTAACCTCCCTTCAGTCATGGCAGATGGTCAGGTGACTAATCTAAACTGATTCTCACCCATCTGTGAACACAGCTAATCTCTGTCAATAAACACTATGGTAATATGTACAGGAGGAAAAAGCTCAGAGAACATGTCTTCTTAAGCATGAATCACAGTTTGCCTTAGTTTCTAGGCTCCACAAGCCTATTTCACCCTTTTATTCCCACCTTGGCAGGGACCTGTGTGCTCTTGGCCATGGGGTCATCAGATGGAAGGGGACTGTAGGATTCAGAGCCCCAGATGGAACTTCACTAGTTTTTTTAAAATTTATTTTTATTTTTATTATTCTTTTATTTTTTTCATATCATTTTATTACATACATTCAATCACATTATTATTTGTCTTACAAAATGGATATTTCAACAGGTGAACATTTTTCCCTAATACTGTTGATAAAACTACGAAATATCTTCAACAGATAATACCATACCTCTTTGTGCCATTAATGCTTTGCCTCCCTGTCCCTCCCCCAAATGTCCTTCCTCAGACCCTCCTCTTTCACACACACTATATCTGGTATTTACATCTATATACTGCATTTCTATATCCTTTAGATAATTAGTTTCAGTCAAAGAGTGCAGATACTCTGTATATATTAAGTAGGGACATACAATGCCTCTCCTTCATAGCATGGCTTGCTTCACTCATCAGTAAGACTTCCATATTCATCCAACTCATGTCAAAAGCCAGGGTTTTGTTGTTTTTTATGTATGAATAGTATTCCATTGAGTCTATGTGCCACAGTTTTTCTAACCATTCATCAGTTCGTGGGCATTTGGGTTGTTTCCATGACTTAGCAATTGTGAAAAGTGCCGCAATAAACATCGATGTGCAAGTACTTTTCTGATTAAGTATTCTTCTGTCCAACTACCAAGGAGTGGGATTGCTAGATCATATGGTAGTTGTATTTGCAGATTTTTGAGGAATCTCCAAATTGTTCTCCACAGTGGTTGGACCAATTTACATTCCCACCAGCAGTGTAAGAGAGTTCCCTTTTCACCAC